GTCCAGTCCCAGTCCAGTCCCAGTCCAGTCTTGTCCAGTCTGTATGAGACGGTCCTGAGACAAATGTCCTCTGTGTCCTCAGTTCTTTATTTTCTTCGGGAACACCTTCCTGTCCATGAACTGGGCCATCGTTGCTGACATCCTGCTGGTGAGGAACTCAAACTCTTTCCTGTCTCCTTCAGGATCTGACTCAGAACCACAGACCGGATCCAGACTGGTTCTGGGTCGATGGGTCTGTGGTCCAAATCATGATCTGTGACTCTGTTTTCAGTACGTGGTGGTCCCGACCCGGCGCTCCACGGCCGAGGCTCTGCAGATCGTGGTGTCTCACCTGCTGGGGGACGCAGGAAGTCCACTGCTGATCGGAAAGGTGGGTCCTGATCCAGAACTGACCCAGAACTGAAGCTCAGGAAGCTCCGCCTCTATAAAGCCATCTGATTGGCTGCAGCTAACGTCCTGTCTTGTGTCTCAGGTCTCAGACTCAATGAGGAGGACGGACTCGTTCCTGTGGCAGTTCCGCTCCCTGCAGCTCTCACTGATGCTCTGCTCCTTCGTGGCCGTGGTGGGCGGAGCCTTCTTCCTCGCCACAGCCATCTTCATCGAAAAAGACCGCAGTCGAGCCGAGAGCTACGTCCCCTCAGGTGAGACACACCTGACTGTCCTTTGTCCCACCTTTAACCATGAATGAAGACCAAGTCCAAAATAAATGATGTTGACCTTTATTTTGAAACTCTGTGTTGGTCTCTTCCTGTTTCCTGTTTAATTCAGACCCAACCTGCTGATGAGTAAACAAACTGTTGTTGTTGTTTGTGTTTACAGCTGATGAGCCCATTGTTGTGCCCAAAAGTGGACGGTCCACCCAGGTCTCTGTGTCCAGTGTTCTGATCTGACCCGTCCTCCTGAGGTCCGACTGGACCGGCAGCCCGCTTTAATCTGGACCCACTTTAATCTGGACCCGCTTCAGGCTGGACCCACTTTAATCTGGACCCACTTTAATCTGGACCCGCTTCAGGCTGGACCCACTTTAATCTGGACCCACTGTAGAAACTATTTTTCTGTTTTAAAGGCTTCATGACCAGAAAACCTGCAGATCTGTTTTTATCAGCTGATGTGGACTCTGTGGTCCAGATGGACCAGCTGATGTGGACTCTGTGGTCCAGATGGACCAGCTGATGTGGACTCTGTGGTCCAGATGGACCAGCTGATGTGGACTCTGTGGTCAGAGGAAATAAAGTGTTTTATAACTTTATTAATCACTTATTAAACTCATGTTTGAAACAGTTTTAAGTTTGTTTAAAACTTTACTTCCTGTTTGACCTGAAACTTCATTTATTTAAAAACTAAATGTTTTTAATTCAATGTTTGGTTCAAATTATTTTACTTTATTTGTAAACAAATAAATATATTAAATGTTTGTGTTTTGATTTTATAAATAAATTTAAATT